ATAGGGATGATAGAAAGATAATTGAAGCCTTTGAGCTATGGTGCTGGAGAAGAGTATTGAGAATACCATGGACTGCTAGGAGAACAAACAGGTTTGTCCTTGAGAGGGTGAAGTCAGAATGCTCCCTGAAGTCAAGGATTCTGAAGCTTCATCTGACATACTTTGGGCATGTTGCAAGGAGGGACTGGTCCTTCTAGAGGGACATCATGTTTGGGAGAGTGGAGGGTCACCGCAGGAGAGGAAGACCCTCGATGAAACAGATCTATTCTGTGACTGTAGTGGTGGGAATGAGGGTATTTTAGACGGTGAGGTTGGCACAGGATAGAACAGCGTTTAGAGCTCTTGTACATAGGGTCGCTATGAGTTGCAAGCAAATCAATGGCACATAACAACAACATTGATAGGTTTCAGACTTAAAATGTTGCTTTAATTGAGTTTCCCAGAAAAGTGACAAAGTCTAGATTATATGGCCACTAAGTCTCAGTTATTGTTAATGGCTATGTACCTGTCCCCTCTCCTGTGTCTGTTTGAAAGGGGAGTCATTTACCCCTAAGCAAACAAAGGCTCAGAGAAGGGACAACTTTTCAACAATGTAAGTCTCAATAATAGCTACTTTCCAATGTCCATAGTCATTTACCCACATCCCCGCTCTTGAAGTGGTTGGGAGGGCAAAGTGCCTGAGCAGACAAGGCTCAGAGAAGCCACAACTTCTCCACAGTGCAGCTCGCCACACACCAATGTCTCCAACTCCCAGGGTTGGAAGGGAAATAAAATTTAATTTTTCCCCAATATGTCTTTTCTCTCATGGTCTTATTTTTCACAAAATTGTCATTTCTATTACTCCTTACTTATAAAGAAATGTTCCCTTAAAATTTTAATAATTTTATTAAATTGTGAGTTTGTAATAATAAGAACATTTTGTGAATATTCTGAGACTTAATGTAAATAAGATTTATAAAAGGATAATGTTAAAAATTATCTGAAACATAATTAAATACCACTTTAAACAGTACTTTTAGTATGAGTCTATGAGGTCAATGGTTAGTGCAAATTCTGGACAGTTCTATGTGAAGATTATTTTGAAGTTAAAATTTTCAAGGAAGACTTTTTTGTTAAAAACGTTTTTGTTAAAGACTTTTTTGTTATACAGGATGGGCTATTTTCTGTTTCATGCTTTAATTTTTATTTCATTTATCCTTCTTTCACAGATGTTTAAATTTCGTTACAGTTTGTTTCATTTGAGATTCTATTATCTAACTTCCTATTTATTTATTCCCAGTTTTGTCTTTGTTTTGATCTCTTTACCGCCAAGACCAACAGTTAATTACCTTATGGAATTAGTATTTTTCTTAGTATCTTTAACCATTAAAATTTCCCTTAGAATTTTGCAGGTTCTTTTACACATTTAAAGAAATGGTTTGTAGATTTATCTAAAAATTTAGGCATTCTGTACTAATTGGAATATGTTGCTGTTGTTGTTGTATGTGCCATTTTGTCATTTGTGACTCATAGCCACCCTATGCACAATAGCTCTGAACCCTATCCTGACCCAATCTGACTGTCTCTGACACACCTCATCTCATTATCTCAGTTACTGTGTGAACTCTTCTTATCTAAGGTCTTCCCCTTGTGTTGCCCCTCTACCCTAGTCTCCAAGGACTGGTGCCCCCTGGCCACATGAGACATAGCTAACTTCTAAGAAGCAGCTTCTTTGTTCTCTTTACAGTCCGTGAAATGTTCAACATTCTTCTCCAGCAACACTCAAAGGTATTCATTGTTCTTCTATTATCTTCTATCTATTATCCTTAGTCATTGTCCAGCTCTCTAACACATAGCAAATTATTACAAAGACCAAGGCATGGATCAGGCACATCTTAGTCTCTGGACTGACATCATTGCTCTTTAGCTCTCTAGAGAGGTCCATGACAGGAGATTTTCCCACTGCAATTTGTTGGGGTTTGTTTTTGGTTTGTGTGCTGTTGGTTTTTTGTTCTGTTTTGTTTTGTTTGTTTGTTTGTTTGTTTTTGTTGTTGTTGTTGTTTTTAATTTGCTGATTGCTAGTACCAAGAGTGTTGATTGTGGACACAAACAAGCTGAAATTGTTAACAATCTCAATCTTCCTTCCATCAATCATGAGGCTTACCAACTGCCCCAGTGTTAAGAATCTTTGTCTTCTTGATGTTGAGCTTCAATCCATATTTAAGACTGTAGAGCTTGCCTTTACACAGCAAATGCTTCCAGCCCTCCTCATTTTCAGCAACAAGGCTGTGTCATCTGCATAATGTAGGTTAACGAATCTTCATCCAATTATGATGTCACACTTCTACCTTATATAGCCCAATCTTCAAAAGGATCTGTTCTGCATATAAATTGAAAAGGTTTAGAGATGGGACACATTCCTGAAGTATTCCCTTTTTCCCTTTGAATCATACAGTGTTTTCTTTCTATGTTCTGACGACTGCTTCTTGTACAGTCAAGTGTTCTGGGATTCCCATTCTTCTCAAAATTAACCACAGCTTGTTGAGATACACACATTCACATAGCTTTGCATAGTCTATGAAACACAGACCACCTTCTGGTATTCTCTACTCTCAGCCAAGATCCATCTGACATTGGCTATGATGACCCTAGTGTCACAGTCTCTTCTAATTAGAAAATAAATTAGAGTCTAAATTTGAAAATATCCATATCTATACCACTATGTTGCTGGAAATAGAAATTCCATTTAAACATAGCTATTATTAATACAGAGTGACTGCATAACCTTGAGCATTCTTGAAGATTGTGTGTCAACTTGACTACGGATGAGTCTCTGGTTTTTCAGCTAAGATATACCTTCATAAGCCACTTCAGTAGACAGTGTCACAGACGAGAGCCACAGATAGGCAAGGGAATAGAGAGGAAGCTCCCACTCACTTGCTTTAAGTGTGGCTCTGAAGGACACTTGGCCAAGGTGGCTCACATCAGGTCCTGGCAGACAGGACTGACAGGCCCCAGCTCCCAACTGGAAACAAAGGAGGATGCTTCAACGATTTAGATCCTCCCAGAAGAGCTGTGGGTGAGCATTAACATTACTGGTAAATATATTCATTTTCTCCTAGACACAGTGCCTACTAATCAGTTCTAAAAGCTTTCTGAGGTCCCAACTCTTCTCACTATCTCTTAGTTGTTGGAATGGGCAGAAAACCTCATAAGCAGTTCCTTACTTCACCTCTACCTTGCATGCGAATTTCCAAGTTGTAAAACAACCCAGTGGTAGATGGAATTTGCTCCAGGACTTAAGAACCATAAACGACATAGCTGAGCCTCTACATCTTGTGGTTCCTAACCTCTACACTATAATAGACAAAGCGCTTGTCTATAGGCCTTTTGTTGTAAGAACCACCTTCCCTTTGTAACTTGATTTGTGCCACTATTAGAACCTCTACTTGGAATATTATTGCTTGTTAATTTTTGACTCATGTACTTTTAACTTGTTAAATTTGTGTCTTCTAGGTTGCAACACCTTCATGATACATCTTCAAAGATATGAACATGTACGGCTAAGCACAATTAATAACAGTGCATCTAAATTCCAAAATCAATCTCCATAATAGTCTATGTGTTTCCTACTGCCAAAGGGGCCCTTTAGAGTAGTGAGAGAAGATCTTCACCCTGAAACCTACAGCGTCCCTTTTCAGCAGGAATTAGCTGAGAGAATACGCCATTCCCTTTTCCTTATGAATCAGGGTGAAGTCTCTCTCAGGGAGGAGTGATAGGGAATGGCAAAGGACACACTGAGAAAAGAGATTAATTAGAACCGGCTTTGACAAGCACTGTGGCAATTGGACAATTAACAGACATTGGGGGGGGGGAAGAAGAATGAACTGGGGAGGAGGGTAGAGAAAGCAGTGCAACAATGAATGAATGAAAACCCCAAATCTCTGTAAATGTTCATTAAAACTAATAACATTTAATAATAATTTTTATAAAAAGATCTAATTCAATGCAATCCCCTCTATGATACCATCTGCTATGAGCAGCCTATCACTTGAAAGAAATTTTGCTTAAGAGTCTGGCTTGCATATATTATTTGTGAACCTTCTTGGAAAATCTCTTGTGTATGTGTACAGGGGGTTTTCCTGTCAAGTTCTTGTCATTATCTGACTACTCGTTCTTTGAATTTGTATCAGTGGCCTCGCATATTGTGTGTTAAACTTGGATATGTCAGTCTCCAAAGCTAGCAGCCTGTCTTTGATTTGACATTCTCAAGTTCACTAGCCCTTGCAGCCACATTAGTATGAAGAAGCCTCTAGCCTTTGAGACGTGGTGCCAGAGAAGAGTACTGAATATTCCATGAACTTCAAGGAGAGCAAACAGGTTTGTCCGGGAGAGGTTGAAACCAGGCTGCTCCTTGGAGACAAGGATTCTGAACCTCTGTCTGACATAGTTTGGGCATGTTACAAGGAGAGACCACTCCTTGGAAAGGAACATTATGCTTGGAAAGGTGGAGGGACAATGTAAGAGAAGAAGATCATCTGTGAGATAGATAGATTCAGTGACTGGGGTAATGATAGTAGGTGTTTCAGAAACAATAAGGTTTGTATAGGCTATAGCAGGTTTCAGGGCTATTGTACATAGGTTCACCAAGAGTCACAAGCAACTCGATGACACACAACAACAACATATTGTAGTTGATATAAAATACATTTTCCTAAGCACATTCTAGGATACTTTTATTGCAACTGTTGTAGAATTTATTTGTGATAAATAATCTCCTCTTTATCACTTAGATCAATACATAGTAATCTATTTGATGGGCATTATAATAGAAGAACTTTAGATATACTTGATATGTTTAATAGTCTAAAAGAGTTAACTGTTTACATGTAAGATAGAAGTACATTCAAAGGGTAACTAGGAAAAAACAACCTTATGAAGAACATGTTTTAATTTTCAAACAAAGCAAATGAGGTAGGATATAGTATCCCCATGTGCTACTTAAAATGGACATTACTTACAGCTTTATTAGCAAAAGTTTCTTCATAAAATGCAAGCATCAGAGCAAACTGAACAACAGTATATATCTTCAGCAATTGAGATGCTGGAGATGAGAAGGCAATTTCTTTTCCAGTGACCTAGGTGGGAAAAAAATTCCTTTTATATTGGTCCTTAACCTATTCTTACTGGAATTTCTATCAATTGAGGAAGAGACCTGTAACAAAGCATTAAATAACTTGTTTTATGCATCTATTTTTTAAAATTACCAGTAGATTCCATTTTAAAACAGAAAAATAGCTAAAAGAAGGAGATTTCTTCTTCTTTTCAGGAACATTGCAATTCGGATTTCACATCAAAACAAAAACCAAAAACCAACACAAAGTCATCATCATAGAGTCAGAAAAAACTCTCAATTAACCCTCTCCCAGACTTTTCGAGGCTGTAAATTGCACAGGAGAAATTGTCCATCTTCCTCTTGGGAAATTGTTGGTGGGTTTCAACCCACAGAGGAGATTATTTTGGTTTTGTATCATAATTCTACTGATTTATTTGTATCAAGATGGGCTGACCCAATAAAATGAGAATTGCGTTGACAACAACTGGTTGGTTTAGGTTTACAAAGCAACGTGAGAATTGATAATCAATATCAGCAATATCTACCGATGATATATGTACTGATGATAAAGATGGCTGAAGTTAATAGGTTGGAGCTCCTTAAAGTGCTATTAAAATTATGGTTAGGAAAGTAAATCAAATGATAAAAGTGAGCAAAACCATATGAAATGGTGTAGATAATATGCTTCAAAGGGAAATCCTTCCTTTGAAGTAACTTTTCAAATCTATGGAATATTCCAGAAATGCTGTACTTCTATTTTTATGATGAAGATTTAGGTATCTATAAGACTTTACAAATAATCACCTTTGTTTTATTCTGTTGAAAAGAAGAAGAAACTAAGAAATGGCACACATTTAAATAAGGTTTTTGGAATTACAATAAGCAGAAAATGCTCACCTAAATTTTATACTCCTACTCACTTCGCAGTACATAGTAATTTGTTTTCCATATTGTTTCTAGAGTGTTACTAATATGGCATTTGATAACCAAATGTATTTTGAATTCATGAAAATAAAATCATTTTTATCCCTATAAGAAGAATCCCAAATTGGCATAGACTTTATTTTTGCTTCCAGAATTTTAAATCCAGATGTTACTTATTTTAGGTAATACTGTGATTATTTTTTTTTAATTTAATGCAAACCTCAATCTCAAATTCATTGCAATCAAGTTGATTCTAACACATAGCAATATTGCATTGGGTTTATGATGCTGCAGTTCTAAAGTGGAGGTGATTGTCCATCTTTCTCCAGATAAGCCAATGGCGGATTCAAACTCTTAGAGATGTGTGCCTTTTGGCTAGTAGCATTACATGGGACTATGTCACTAGTGCTCCTTTATTTAATGTTCTTGTATTTAATGCAGATTAATTACTTAATACATATATTTAATTTCATTAATATTTAATTATTTACCATAGAGATCCTATATTTAATGCTCTGTTATAAAATATAGAGAGCTCTTGTGATAAGGTGTTATGTTGCCAACCCAAGGGCAAGTGGTTTGAATTCACTAGCTACTTCACAGGAGAATGATGAACAATCTCCTCCCCTATTATTTATTGCCTCTGAAAATCTGCCTGAAGGTAAGTTGGATCTGATACATAGCAATAAGGAGCTATAGAATACATAAAATCACAGTTTTATCTAAACAGCCAAATCCTCTTTGTAAGTTTCCATTTTAGGAACCTTGGGTTTTTATGAGTAAAATTAAGATTGACTAAAACTAAAGTCCCCTCCATCCATGCTGTTGCAGGAATCTGTAACTGACTCATGAATGCTTGAATAGTGTATACCCTGCACAAAAAAATATAACTTCTGCTGGTCTGCTCCTTACATTTTTAATTAAAATTATTATCTTCCTAGGAAAAGGCACCCATCTTATGGGGCCTTGTGTTGTATTTACTTATGAAATCACAGCTAATATAGTTGTATTTATTTAAAACAATGTCCTTTTGTGAATTTGCACAGAATATCTATCTATCTATCTATCTATCTATCTATCTATCTATCTATCTATCTATCTAAAATGACTATAGACCTGACTGTGAAAGACCTAACTGTCCTTCGCCAACACCATAAACTCTACTTACTTCTGGGATTTCTTCACTCAGCCCCAGTCTTGGTTTACCTGGGCCCCATCCTGGTCCTTTAAATATGACAGAAAACTTGTTGAAGAATCCACGTGTGGTCCAAAATGTCGTCCAAATGTACATTAAATGGTGGAACTAGAAAGAATAAAAGTATTAATCATTTAAAACAATATTAAAGTAGACTGTAAACTCCAAAATGCCCAATTAAGGAAAGTTTGTGTTTTATTGTACTATTAAATGTAACTCCTCTTTACATTCTCCAACTTTAAAACAGAGCCCAGTTTTGATGACTATCACAAAAATGGTCTGATTTAAATTGCATATCTCATTTTAAATTACATATCTCATTTTCTATTTTTTAATCAGTGCATTTATAAATCTAATCTCTGTCTTTTGGGATTGGAATGAAAAAAGTCTGCAACTCACATATTAAAACATTATTTTGTCATTTGCTGTCATGTTGGAACTACTCAGAGCTGACGATCCAGTTGGCTTTTTGAGACTATAAATCACGTGGAAGGAGATTGTCCTTTTTGTGAGTTCAAACAACCTGCCTCTGGATTGGCAGTGTAACTCCATACCCACCAGACCACAAGAGCACCTTCCATTGTTTTCAGTATATAGTACAAATAAGAAGAGAAAAAAACGAACTAATGTAAGGATAGTTTATAATTATGTAGATGTATCCTATCCCTGACAGCCTTGTACTTCATGATAAAACTTCAAACATCCTTTTTAATGAAGAATGCAATAGCATTCCTCTTTAATTGTACATCTTTCAAGTGGCAGACCATTCACATTCATTTCATTTAAAAAACACACTTGTACATTTCAGCACACTAATGACTTGTTGCATACCATCTAACTAGAACCAACTCATAGCTGACCCTTCAACAGCTTTTCATGGGCAAATAAAGCACACAATGGGAGATTGCTCATCTTCCTAGTATTGAGGAGGATTTGAACCTGCTACCTTTGCGTGCCAGCACAATCCTTAATACTAAGCCATTAAAATGTATCAATTTGCATGCATTCCATTTCATTTCTGACAATTATAGTAAATTCGTATTTTGTCCTTTCCACATTGCAATTATGAATATATTTTTCCAATTGCTTCTCCTCATTTTGAGTTATATCATATCGGTGGATAAGTGGTAAAGTAATGTTTTATGATGTTGGAAAAAGGTATTTCCAGTGCATAAGCTGTTGGTCTTGCAAAATTCTATCATACAATTCCCAATTTCTATGACAAAGTAAAAATTTTCTAACTATCTTACTTCTTTAATATTTACATTTCAGTCACTAGTAGTTTTTAATGCATCATGATTGTATGGTTCATAAATTTTAGATTACAGAAGTAGAATAAAAAAAATTACCAGTTTCCATCTGGTTGGAGCTGCTTTGAGGGAGAAGGACGGGCAATCTCCACTCGAGCAATTAATAGCCACGGAAACCCACCTGAGGGTCAGTTATAGGTGGGTTCTGACTCGGTAGCACACAGTAACAACAACAATAACATCTTCAATAGTGTTTGGTACCTAAGAGTTCTATCAACTGATACTCTTTGTAGAACTGTGGATATTATGGCACTACCGGGGACAGTATATTTGAGGATAGGTCTTGAAATTACTTTTCTGACAGCAAATGTCACAGTGTTCTCCTTCAATTTGTCATCCTCAGTACAGTAGATCATATAATCATTATAATCATCACCATCATTAGAATATTTTATATTACTATAACACAATTACTTATATTGCTGTTGTTGTTAGGTGCCATTGAGTCATAGACGACTCTATGAATGAAAGGCCTGAGCACTGTCCATAGCGTTTCCAGAGGTAAGCCATTTCGGAAGTGAATGCCACTTCTTCTTCCAAGCTTGTTTTAATCAGGAAGCTCCACCAAACACTCTCTGCCATGGGGAACCATTACCACATTTGGCACATCAGTGTCATGGTGTTTATTTATATCAATAAATTAAATATTGAAATTATTACATAATTAAGTAAATATTAATTTTATATATTAATTAATAATAGAAAATTATTATATAGTTTATTATTATATGACTCAAAATTACCAATACCAGTTTAATTTAGGATACTAATACCTAAAATATTTGTCTTTATGTGCTCCATTTAATCGTTAAAGATTTTCATTGTCCATTAATTCATGCTTTGTTGCTGTTGTTGTTGTGTATAGTAGAGTCAGAACCAACCCATAGCTGACCTTCCAGTGGGTTTTCAGAGGCAGCTAATTGCACTGGAGAAGATTGCCCATTCTTTTACCAAGGAGCAGCTGGTGACCTCCAACTTCATACCTTCAGGACTGCAGTGTAGCTTCTTGCCACTAGGTCACCAGAGCTCCCTAATTCATACTTTAAACATCCAAGATTCTGATTACTAATGAATATTTGTAGTTGTTTCTTCTCATTTTTGTCATGTGACAATATCAGATAAAAGTCTTTAAAATGTTACTCCATTGTCATCACTTAGAGGAGGTAGCTCTTTCTAAGTCACATTCGAGTGTCTTCCACCCAAGAGGCTCATCTTCTAGAACGATCTTAGAATGTTCCACTCCATCATTAAGGCTTTCACTGACCAATCTTGTCCAGATTGTTGTTATGCACCATCAAGTCACTTGCGACTCATAGTGACCCCATGTACAATAGCCCTGAACCCTGCTCTATCCTGTGCCAGTCTTACTGTCTCTGACACACCCATCCTGATTACCCCAGTCACTGAATCAATCCACCTCATAGAGTGTCTTCTTCCCATGTGTTGTCGCTCCATCCTCCTAAGCACGATGTCCCTCTCCAAGGACTGCCCCTCTTGTACCATGCCCAAAGTAGGTGAGACAAAACTTCAGAATTCTTGCCGCCAAGGAGCAGCCCGACTCCATCCTCTCCAGAATGAATTTCCTTGTTCTCCTAGCAGTCCATGGAATATTCAATACTCTTCTCCAGCACCACAGCTCAAAGATCAATTCTCCTTCTATCCTCCCTAGTCATTGTCCAGCTCTGTTATGCCTAGAAAGCAATTGCAAAGACTATGGCCTGGATAAGGCACACTTTAGTCTACAGACTGATTTTGTTGCTATCCAGAAGTAGACTAAGAAATTGTTTCATAGTCTATTATAATCTGGACTTTCCACAGAAATCTATTATTTTTTTTCTTGCTGAACTAGGATAATACAGGTGGCATAGTTTCTAGAATAAAATATGCAAATCACCACTGTATTGCAAACTGATAGAGAAGTGATCTTATTCATATACATATATACGTGTGTGTTTTTATAAACATTCAATTATTTATATGTCATTAGGTTAATATATTTGTTAATTAGGTTAATAAATCATATTACAAATAGTAATTTGTTCTTTGAAATCTGTGTATCTTTAGAGGTGTATGCTCAACAAATTATAATTTTAAAATTAAAAAGTAGGACAAATGTTTCAAAAATTAGTGAAGCAGAAATATTTACGATACTTTGCTGCCAATTAACCTGGTTAGCTGCTTAAACCCTCAACATTTGTGCCTAATGATTACTTTTCTAAAGTCTGCTAAATGAATATAAGATAGCACGTGAAAAGAAAATAAGGTTGTATATATCTATATAAATACTTTAAAAGTAAGCATCTATTTTCTTTATAATGAAACATGATGTACTAAGGAAAGCATTTCAAAGATATCCTAAAATAGACTTCTGAATATCAAACAGTTCATATCTCTAATTAGAAAAGTTTAATCAATAAAACAAGACTTTTCCTTGAGGCTCATGGGAGTAACCGTCACTCTTTAAAATGTACGTACTTTGAATGCAGTTGATTTAAAAGCATGCCACATGTGCTAAGTGATAGATTTGTTGTGTACTGTTCAGTTGGAACTAACACATAGTGCCCCCTACAGAGGATTTCAGAGACAGTAAATTGCAGGGGAGGAGACTGCCCATCTTGCTCCTGCAGAGCAGCTGGTAGATTCAAACCATGTGACTTTGGGTTGACTGGGTAATTCCTTACAATTTCCATAATCATAATGATATAGTATAATTCTATTCCTCACCTCATTCCCTGGAGTTAGAACTATGTCATAGCTGACCCCATTGAGTTCCTGAGACTGTAAATCACATGAAAGGAGATTGCCTAATAGTGACTTTGAACCACAAGAGAGGTATGGCCGTTGGGTTATTAGCAGTACAATTTCCAGTTGACTGGACCATAGTTTCTTATATACTCATGAACCACAGAACTGTGGGAAATTTGAATCTACTAACAGCTTCAAGGAAAAAGATGGGAAATCTCCTCCTGTGCAATTTATAGTCTCACAAACCTACCAAAGGGTCAGCTTTAGGCCAATCCTGACTCCATAGCAATAAATTTGAGCTTTATAAATATAGTTCTGATGGTCTAACCATAACATGCTAACTTGCTAAACAAAAGTTTGTGTGTTTTTGATGGTTTGAATCCACCAAGGCTCATCATGATTAAGAACTGTCTTCTCCCATTAAGATTTACAGGTTCAAAACTAAAAATCTCCATCTCCCAAATATTATTCTAAATTCATTTTTATGGATGCCTGATATTAGTGAGAGAGAAAAAAAAATCTGTGAACTTGTATACTTTTCTAGGTTCCAGAAACTTCCAGTATTACAATTTAATAATTTCACATGTCTGATAATTAAGTGACAACAATAACAGCATGATGAAAAAACAAGTCTTGGGCAAACTGGAGCATTTACTACTGTGATTATCTGAATATTGTGTTCATCTAAATCCTAATCACTCAAGTATTTGTGCAGCTCATACCATGCACTTTTTCACACTATATTCTGTCTAAAATAGAACCCCACAGGTCCCCCGTAAAAATACACATCCTTAAAGTCATGCTGCTCAAAAAAGTCATCCATGATTCAACAATACTGGAATCACATGGGAGCTTATTAGATATATGGAAGTTTGGAAAATCTTTACATCAACAGAACAGCACTTGCGGTTTAACCAGATCCTCTGCTGATTCCCATGTGTATTATGATTAAAACCCACTGAACCAGAGGGCTGATGAAGCCCTAGTAGCACAATGGTTGAGCAGGTGGCTGTTAACTGAAAGGTTAGTTGCTAAAACCTACCCAGCAGTGGGATATTAGCTCCCACAAAAACTATAACCCAAAAGCCCAGCAGCCTCCAACTCAATTGCACTAAATATTAACAGTATTCAAAAAGCAAATTGTCTATTTCTTTTTATTTTCCACGTGACCAAGATAAAGTTTACAGAGAGATAAAGTTACTTTCAATGTATTAATTCTAAACTGTTTCACTTCTACAAGACTTATTACTAAGGCAGTATCCTAAAACATTTATGCTATATGCTCTGGTTATATCATATTTTTAGTAGCATTTAGTAAAGATGGAGGCAGGGAAGGCCATGTAATTGACAAAAGACAGAATAATTTTTCTCCCTTTTTTGAAGAATGAGGAGTGGAAAAAGTCTTCCATTTGGGAATGAAGGTGATTTGCCAGAGTCTATTTTAACAAGGACAACACAAAGTGTTTAATTGAGTCACGGATGTTAGTAAACACTTAACTAGCAAACCACCAGGATTAAGTTTATATCTGAGCAGCTGTGTGACCTTAAGTGAACTAATTAAATACTGGTTCTTGGTTATTAGGCACCCTGGTGGCACAGTGGTGAAAATAATCAGGTGCTAATCAATGCACATAACAACAATAACATACTATGATGGGTTTGGAAGAAGGAGTAGCATCCACTTCCTAAATAGTATGCTTCCAGAAACTCTTATGAACTTTGATAAATGCCGATGGTTGTAGAGGGGCTTTCAGGCCTTTTGTTCATAGGGTCGGTCACTATGAGTCATGCTCAACTAGAAGGCAATCAACAACAGTAACTCAAAGCTTGGTACTTCAAACTTATTTGAGAAAATGTAGTACTGATCTGCTTCTGTAAGGAATGACATGCCTACAAACACCATTATACTCTGTCCTGCCTGGAGGGTTGCTATGAATCAGAATTGACTTGATGGACTTTGGTTTGGTTTTTTGATAGAAGTTGGTGTTGAGATAATCCACAAGTGGGTGCTTTAATAAACAGAAATTTAATTTCTGATAATTTAGGAGACTAGAAGTACAAATTCAGGGTGCTGGCTCTGGGGAATAGTTTTCTCTTTTCTGTGAACTCAGGAGGAAGGCCTTTGTCTCCTTGACCTGCTACTGGGAGACCTCCATATGACTTGACATGTCTTTCCTAATCTCCTCTCACATGTTTCCTTAATCTCTTATATCCCAAAAGTTATTGACTCAAAATGTACTCTACTAATTAGGTATAATTAGCATGTTGTTGAGATCTGGTGGCTTAGTGGTAAGGATTTACGCTGCCAACCCAGGGGCTCAGGGTTCACATCTCTGTCAGAGAAAGATGGGCAATCTTTTTATGTTATTCACTGTTTCTGAAAACGTACTGCAGGGTCAGTTATGTGCCAGTTCCTACTTGACAGTACACGAGAACTCAAATAACACAGCAGTTAGAATTTACAACACCTATTTTAGCAGACACAATTCACCTGAGAACCTCAGTTACAGCCACTAAAAACCAGTGAGAAAGAGTCTCTACTTCACTTTATTTAACTAAAAACTATACAAAATATTTTGTGCTGGGCTATTAGCAATTCTCTGTACATAGTAAGCATTTAGTAAATGTCAATTATTTTATCTCAACATTCTATGAAAATTAGAAAAAAATAGGTTTGCCAAAGAGACACAATACATATCTCTTCTTTCTTTCCTTAGTGTCTATGTTAAGTGGTCTGCTATACAGAGTTGTTATATACTGACCCTTTCAGCTTTTCACACATTTGTATCCTTTTCTCATTTACTAGTTGTTAAAACCCAGGTGTATTTGTGGTGTTACAATGTTGATGGAGCTGAGTTTCACAGGCATTCTTCAATTCTCTAGTGTCAACACTGAGGCCAGTGAACAACAAATACCATGTGTCTAACAGAAAACTGGTCCAGTCCAACAAGTCTTTGTGGGTGAGGTAATATGCAGACCTAACCAGCCCTTAATACCTCCTGACACTTAGGTCGAACTAGAGTAGGATTGAGGCCTCACGTGAAATTTCTAACCAGAATTGGGCAGCCTTGAAGAAAATATTTTCCTTACTATGGTATCAACTTTAATTATAGGATAGCTTCTGAATATATGAATATATTTCAAATCTATTCAGGGAAAGAATACTTTTCTTTCCATTCTAAGTAGCAGGCATATTTAAAATGTATCTCTACACCTGGTTTGGTTTGAGTATCCAAAGTCTTTCCAAATTCTTTTACTGTGAGAAAAACAAATATTAAAATACAAACAGTATTCATGAAAGTATAATGTACTTCACCTTTCAACAACTCTAAGCAATGAGATTTACGAAAGAATGTAAATTCAAAATTAATAAAACCAATTACTTTACCTGCACCTTGAATGGTTCAAACGTATTAATGGGATGTGTGAGGCCATATACAACTTTTTCATTTTCTGCCTCAAAAGTTCCTGAAAGGTAAATATTAATGATATGGTGGTTTTGATGATTTTTTAAACTTCTGAGAATAAAGAAGTAATTTAATTATTTGAAATATTCATGGCTCTTACTTACCAAAAATTCTATCCCATATAATCAAAGTACCGGCATAATTTTTGTCTATGCAATAACGGTTTCTACCTATGAGCCAAAAAAAATGGAGGAAAAAGAAAATAGGTAAGTGAATGCATGCTCTTTTTCTTGAACTTCAAACCACATTCACAAAATTAATACACAACCAAATGTATTTCCTGATGTCTTCTTTTTAACAATAGTAAGCTTGGTTTGAGAATTAAATTTTCACTTTATTAATTTGATGTTAATTTCAAAGAAGGAATATAAAGTTTTATTCTGGAAAATGAGATAATTATAAGCTATTTCTTCTGTCAGGACAATCAACACATGATGAAAGATTATATTATTCAGAATAATAAATGTTATTGTTGTTATGTGCCATAGAGTCGCTTGCGACTCACAGCGACCCTATGTACAAGAGCTCTAAATGCTGTTCTATCCTGTGCCAACTTAGCTCTCTCAAATGCAATTATTCCCACTGCTCCAGTCACAGAATCGATCCATCTCACCAAAGGTCTTCCTCTCCTTCGCCTCCCCTCCACTCTGCCAAACATGATGTCCCTCTCCAAGGACCAGTCCCTCCCTGCAACATGCCCGAAATATGTCAGACAAAGCTTCAGAATCCTTGACTCCAGAAAACACTCTGGCTTCACCCTCTCCAGGAAAAATGTGTTTGTTCTCCTAGCAGTCCATGGTATATTCAACAGTTGTCTCCAGCACCACAGCTCAAAGGCATCAATCCTCTTTCTATTAACCCTATTCGCTGTCCAACTATCTGATGCATAGCACATAATTGTGAAGACTATAGCCTGGATCAGGTGCACCTTAGTCTCCAGCCTGACATCGTTGCTCTTCAGTACTCTTGAGAGGTCCCTCACAGCTGACTTTCCCAATGAAATTTGTCTCCTGATTTCCTAGCTGCTGTTACCAAGAGTGTTGACTGTGGAGCCAAGTAAATTAAAACTGTTACCTATCTCAATCTCTTCACCATCCATGCTGATGCTGCCAATTGGCCCAGTGGTTAAGATCTTTGTTTTCTTGACATTTAGCTTCAGTCCATATAGGAGGCTGTAGTCCTTGATCTTCTGCAGCAAGCACCTCAGGTCCTCCTCAGGGTCAGCAAGCAGGGTTGTGTCATCTGCATAACGCAGGTTGTTGATGATTCTTCACCAATCCTGATGCCACATTCCTCTTTGTACAGCCCAGTGTCTCAGATAATCCGTTTTGCGGAGAGATTGAAAAGGTATGGAGACAGAATACATCCCTGATTGACCCCCTTCTTGATTTTGAACCATGTAGTGTCTCCTTGCTCTGTTCTGACAACTGCCTCTTGGTCCAAGTATAAGTTTCAAATTAGCACAATCAAATGTTCTGGGATTCCCATTCTTCTCAGAGTCAGCCACAGCTTGTTGTGATCCACACAGTCAAAAGCGTTTGCAGAGTCAATGAAGCACAGATAGACATTCTTCTGGCATTCTTTGCTTTCTGCTAAGATCCATCTGACATTAGCTATAATATCCCTAGTACCACAACCTCTTCTAAATCCAGCCTGCACATCTGGCAGTTCTCTGTTGACATATTGTTCCAAATGTTTTTGGATAATTTTCAGCAGGATCTTGCTTGTATATGATATCAATGATATTGTTAGATAATTTCCACACTCTGTTGGGTCACTTTCTTTGGAATGGGAACAAATACTGATCTTTTCCAGTCAGTGGGCCAGCTGGCTCTTCTCCAAATTTCTTGACACAACTTAGTGAGCACATCCAGGCCAGTGTCTGTTTGTTGAAATATGTCAATTGGTATTCCGTCAACTCCCGGAGCCTCGTGTTTTGCCATTTCCTTCAGAGCAATTTGAACTTCCTCTTTCATCACCATAGGCTCTTGCTCATATGTCATTTCATGAAATTCTTCTGTGTCAGCCAATTCCTTCTGACATAGTGACTCTGTGTATTCCTTCCATCTTCTCTTGATAATTTCTGGATAATTTAATAATTATAAATAAAATATAAGAATACAGGGTTTTTTTAAAAAAATATACATATTATATTTGGGGTTTTTTTCCACAGTTGCTCCAACAAGAAAATTCTCTCTTTAGACATTACTTTTTCTTTTCCCATGAAAGAGCTCTGGTGGTGAAGTGCCTCAGATGCTTAACTAAAGGGTCTGTGCTGCCCTATGGGGCAATTCCACTCTCTTCTATAGGGTTGTCATACGTGTCGGAACCAATTTGATGGAAATAGGTTAAAAGTGAGATTATCCTTGTTTATTTTTACTAATCCATAATACACACTATTTTTCTTGCTCCAAAATTTACCTGTAATGTAAATGTCTTAACAGTTACTTTAATATAAACATCTTCAATAGATACTGTCATGTCAACATGATTATGAGTTTAGAAGATAAAAGAAAATCGACCCCATGTCTCAGTATTCTTTTGTACTTTTTCCTTACATGTAAATGTGTACCTTAAAAGAAAAGAAACAAGGAAAAGCTCTCCCATTGTGAAAGATGAATGGGTGTTAGCTGATTGTGCATGTATCCATTGTTCTACAGGATTCAAACACAATTAAAGGGGGGATTTTTCCCCATGAAGTATATTTGACAATATCTGAAGACACCTTCAGTGGTCACAACTAGGAATGAGTGCTCTGATGTCTAATAGATAAAAGATCAGGCATTTAAACAACAAAGGACAGGATAGGCCCTATAAGGAAAAATTACCTAGCCAAAGATGTCTATAGTCCTGAGAATGAGAAATCCAGATCCATATACAGTTGTTGTTATTGTGTTCTATACTGCTGGGTCAATACAAACCCCAACAGATTATCAAAGACAATGCTTTGCATGGGATGAGATGGTCTTTCTTTCTCCCATGGAACAGCTCATGGATTTGAATCATGTACCTTTGAGTTCTATGGTACATAAGGTTTTTGAAGCCTTGTTATTTTGGAAGTGGATGGCCAATCCTTCTTCCTAGTCTGTCTTAATTTGGACAGACAAGCATTTTACATAAAAGAGCAGATGAAAGACATTTATCCAATTAAAATAAGACCGATAGATTCAATGTTGCTACCTTGCCACGTGTATTTTGACCACCTCTTTTCCTGCTCCACCATCCCTTCCTGCTTCTGCCTACACAATTCAACACCTTTCTCTTCTTGACCAGCCCTTGATGTGATGGCTTAAAGTCAGCTGCCAGGGACCTCTCCAAAATACTGAAGAGCAAGGACATCAGGCTAGAGACTCAGGTGCACCTGATCCAGGCTATAATCTTCGCAATTATGTGCTATGCATCGGAGAGTTGGACATTGAATAGGGATGATAGAAAGATAATTGATGCCTTTGAGCTGTGGTGCTGGAGAAGAGTGTTGAATATACCATGGACTGCTAGGAAAACAAACAGGTTTGTCCTGAAGAAGGTGAAGCCAGAATGCTCCTTGGAGTCAAGGATTCTGAAGCTTCTTCTGACATGCTTTAGGCATGTTGCAAGGAGGGACCAGTCCTTGGAGAGTGACACCATATTTGGGGGAGTGGAGACATAGTGCAGTAGAGGAACATCCTCAATGAGATGGATCAATTTAGTGATCGGGCTGGCTGGAGTAGGTGTATTGGAGACAGTGAGGTTGGCACAGGATAGAGCAGGATTTAGGGCTCTTGTACATAGGGTCACTGTGAGTCATAAGTGACTCGACGGCACATAACACCAACAACCTTTGAGTTGATAGTGCAGTGCCTTACTATAAGCCAACAGAACTCCCTAATTAAAGTTATTGTTAGGTGTTGCCAAGTAGGACTCATAGTTCCCCTATGAACCATGTCCTAACCGGTGCCGTTCACCACCACTAACACACTGGAGCCCACTGCTGCAGGCACTGTGCCTGTCTAACTGGTTGAGGGTCTTCTTCTCTTCTGTTGACTTTTTCTGGCATGATGTCCCATTCTCAGGAATATCTCCTTCCAGCAACATACCCAAAGTATATGGGATCTTTATCACCTTTCCCTCTAAGAAGCATAACACCGGCACCTTCTCCAAAACACATCTATTTGTTCTTTTGGCAGCCCGTGGGATAACACTATTGTCACCGAGTTTGTCCTGACTCACAGTGACCTTTAAGACAAAGTAAAACTGTGCCATTAGGTTTCCATGGCTATAGACCTTCAGGAAGCAGATTGGATCATCTTTCTCCTGCATAGAGATGGTGAGTTAGAACCCTCCCGAGTTTTCAATTATTTGCATTGTGCTTTATAGGTGTGAGAAGGTGCTCTTATGTTAGAGAAGAAAGAAGTAACTTAGGTTGTTTGCTTTTTTTTTTTGTTAGATTTCAATTTGTTTTCTCTATTCATTATATTTTGTTCTGTTTGGGGGGGGAACCCCCCAAACCCTCAAGAAAATATAACTCTCTTCCTCTGTCCATTCCAACATTATTTCTTTTTTGTGAGTTGAGAATGTTGACTTTGGAAATGGAAACTCTGCCCAATCTGGTGTGCTCTTTGCCACCTCAGAGATGATTGTAAATGTCTAAGTCCAGTTTCACGGCAAAGCCAGTTTGTCTTCAGACGAAAGCCATTTTGTCTTCAGACGAAAGCCATTTTGTCTTCAGACGAAAGCATATCCTTCCATTGGCTTTATCAGTAATAGGATGTGATTTTTGTTCTCCGTTTGCCTCATTCTCATTCATCAATCTCTTCGAGACTTAAATTTCAGTGTACTAAAGAGTCTCTTGAAAATTAGAGAATAAAAAGTCCTCAACAACAAAAAGAAGATACGGGTGTTTTGATGGAGCCAAAGTATGTCTTTGAAGCTTGAAAATTGATGTTCATAAAGTAATCCTTGGAGCCTGTATATGCCAAAAGAACAAATACATCTGTTTTGGAAGAAGTGAAGGAACAATATTCCCTACAAATGAGGGTGATGAGACATTTTTTCATATATTTTGGATATATTATCAAAAAACCCATTTTTCTGGGGGAGGGGGTGGAATTCTATTTAGTGAAAGTAGCAGGTCAACAAAGAGGAGGAAAACTCTGCAGGATGGCTTGATGAATTATGCAATACTGGGCTCTTACAGCAATGATGAGCAGGATGACAGAGGAGTAAGCAATATTTTGTTCTATTGTACAAACAGAGGGATTTTAAGTCACAGTGGGCTTGATGCCACCTAAAATAACAATGCAGGGCAATTGCAATGTAATGAGATGATACAAAATAATATCATTTTTAAAGAAATGAAGAAGGAAGGAAAGAAAAAGCGTCACTTTCTTATAATGAGTCTTGTTTTCTTCCCCAATTGTGTAGTTATTTTGTTTCATTACTTTTTTTAAAGAAAACATTTTATATTGATTGATATATAGATAGCACATAAACAAAAAAGAGGACAAATTATAATTATTACACATCTATTTGAATTTGAACAGCTTGAATCCTGAGCAACTCGGAGTTCTTGTGATGCTGAACACTATCCCATAGTCATGTCAAATACCACAATGCTTACCCATTATGTACAGTGCTTGGATGAGCTCCCCGATTGATTCATGTGGGAAGCACAAGCGGCATTCACTTCCTAAACTAGGTGCCTCTGGAAACTCTACAAACTGTCTTATAAATGTACAGAAATGATGTTAATCATAGACCAGAGTTTAGGTCTTCTGTGAAAAGCTTACTTTGAGTGATATTCAACTCGACAACACTTAACTACTGCTAAATGATACTAGTACTGTTATACCTGGAGGAACTTTCTTCCACTTTGCACATCACTCTTTGTCAATGTGCTGGATGAGGTAACCTGGGTTTGCTGTGATGCTGAACTTTGGGCCATGGTGATATCAAATACCAGAATGGTTTCCCATTGTGGACAGTGTTTGGTGGAGCTCCCAGTTGTAAAACAGGTTTGGAAGGAGGATTAGCATCCACTTTCTAAACCACACATGCCTCTGGAAACTCTATGAACTTGGAAAAACGATAGTTATGGAAAGTCATTAGGTCTTTTATCCATAGAGTCACTACAAGTCAACATTTACTCGAGGGCAATCAACAGCAACATTTGAATTTGTATAACGTTATTGTAGCTATGTACCAGCTACTCAGCGCAAGAATTTAAACAAGATCAGCCCTCTAAAAGTCTTTTTGCATTCATTGTAAAAGCTAACCTGTGTCCCCAATTGGACATTTTAGTTTTGCATTTTCTGTAAATTTATCAAAATAAAACAATATAATACTATTTTATTATTTATTTCTTCCTTTAAATGTTATGTCTGTGAGATGTATCCATTCCATTGCATAAAGTATTAATTAGACATTTTTATAAGCCCATTATTCCATTAGACATTCTCAATGATATACATTTGCCATTTTATAAGCAGCCTACAATTATTTAGCCTTTGTATTTACCCTGTTGCATATAATTCCATACATTCTTGCACAGATCTTTGGTGAACAATGTGCACATCCCTTTAATTAATTAAACTATTGTCCTTAAAACTTAGGCAATAACCACATGAGATTTTCCCCTTGCAAGGCAAAAGATACATGTGGTGAGCTTGTACCCAAAATTTAAGCTGAGAAGTGAGATGTTGTTTATTAGGCCCTCCTCAAAATCCATTTGTATCCAAATGGATACAAGCATTTTGAATTGTGGACTTGGTGGATAATGTTGAATACCACAAGGACTGCCAAAAGACTAAACAAATAGGTCTTAGAGAAAGTGTAATCAGGGTATTTCTCAGAGGCAAAGATGATGAAACTCTGTCTCACCTATTGGGAAATTTTCTAGAAACACTAGTCCTTGGAAAAAGATGTGTTTAAAATGAGTTGACACAGTAACAGCAACAATGTGTTTGGACAGGTGAAGATGATGAGGATGGCACAGGATAGGGCTTCTCTGTGTTGTTCACAGGGTTGCTATGAGTTGTAGTCTACACATGGCATCTAGCTACCTTAAATTCTAATGGTTTTCAAGACCAGGGACCTATCTGGGTGTGGGGTTAGAAATGACCTTTAGGTTATAGCACGGACGTCAACTTGTTTCTTCATGAAAAAGAGTACGCATGCTTTCTGTTGGTTAACTCCTTCCTCCCTCTCACCTCCAGAGCTAGGCTGAAAATGAGGCAAAATAGAAAATCTAAATATCAGTTAGAGGAACTTCTTTTTCCCTTCTTTCTCCACAATTTCAGAAATAACATTTGCCCAGATACAAAGGAAAAAATTATATTTACTTGTAAAATGTGTCCTATGTTAGATAATTGTGATGAAATAGAGATAATATAATAATAACAATAATAAAAATTTTAAACAACTGAGGAAGGAAAAGACAACGAACTAGAACATTCTTACCATGATGGACTCTATGATGACTTGGAGTATTAAGAATCAGTTCCAAAGGACCAAGGTTATTAATTATCTGTTTAAACAAAGGAATAGACATAGTTATCAAGAAATGCATGTGAAATAAACACACACACACACACACACACACACACACGCGCACACACACACACGCACGCATAGTGATAAATTTGCATTGCCGACTCAAAGGCAGGTAGGGATCTGAATCCACCAGTTGTTCTGAAGGAAGAAAGGCCATCTTCTCTCAACTGATTTACTGTCTCTGAAAACCTGCTTGAAGGTCAGCTATGAGTCAGTTTCAAAAATACATAACCACAACAACAAATCAATCTCTCTCTCCTCTCTCTCCTCTCTCTCTCTGTACCTCCCTCTCCCTCTCCCTCTCCTTCTCCCTCTCCCTCTCCCTCTCCTTCACCTTTCCTGTCTATTTATCTATCTATTATCTATCTATCTATCTATCTATCTATCTATCTATCATCTATCATCTATCATCTATCCATCCATCTAATCTATCTAAAAGCTCTGCTATATTGACAACTCAAAGGTGGGAGATTCATCCACCATCTGCTGCTTCATGAAAAACAAAATGGCAATTTCATCCTGTGTCGTTTAAAGCCCCTGAAGATGCCTGAGGGTCAGCTCTGAGTTGGCTCTAACTTGACAGCAATAAGTCTGTGACTGAGTGATATATAGTAATTACGTTAAAACCCTACAAGCTCTGTTAGGAGACAATGCAAAATTCAGGACTGGCATTGGAGAGGAGGAAGAAATTACTTTAGAACTCAAATAAATGTAACAAGAAGCTCAAAACTAAGAATAGTTATACTTCAGGAAGATGTAAGGAAGTTATTATAATAGAGTAGGTCAATTCCCAGATCCTCTACTTATTATCATGTGATCTTGGCAAAACAAATTTATTTGCCTTTTATTATAAATCAATTTCTGTACATCTAAATAATAATAGTATACATTATGTTTGTTGTATTGATACCATGTTACAACATTTATATATAACTTATATTGTTGTTGCTATGTGCTGTCAAATCACCTGCAACTCATAGTGACCCTATGTACAGCAGCTCTGCAGCCTGTATTGTCCTGAGCCAGTCTCACTGACTCAGACACACCATTGCCCTGGTGTACTGTATCAATCCATCTGTGTACAATCCATCCAACTGTGTAAATTACATTAATGTCTTTCAGTTGTGGTACTGAAAAAGAGTTCTGAATATCCATATAAATGCCAAAAGAATGAACCGATATATCTTGGAAAACTGCTTCTCTTATTGATAGTTTCCGCTTTTTCCCTGTGTCTGTTGCATTCATTTCTGCCATTATTTGTATAATAACATTAATTTTAGATGTTGTTAGTGGTTTTGGTTTTTTTGTTGGGTTTTTTTTTCTGTTCTTTTACTACTTGTTCAAGATGTGAGGTTAAATACTTGATTTTTTTTCTTCCCTTTTAACGTGTTTGCATATTGCTGTGAATTGACATCTAATTTTGCTGTATCCTAGAGGTTTAGGTAAGTTGTGTTTTCATTCTCATTTGTTTCAAGAAACTTTTCAATTTCTTTCTTCTATTACCCAGCCATGTTCAAGGAAGGGTTGTTGAGCTTCCAGGTGTATTCCTTTGCTCTTTTGTTGTTGACTTCTAATTTTTTTAACATAGTGGTATGATAAAATGGTTTGTATTATTTCTGTTTTTAATTTTTTGAGTCTTGAATTGTGACCAAATATGTTATTTATTCTGGAAAATATTCTATGACTACTGGAGAAAAATATTTATTGATCTTTATTGAATTTAATTAACTTGTGTATATCTATGAGATCAAGGTGGTTGATTGTATGGTTTAATTCTTCAGCATTTTTGTTGAGTTTCTTTCTGGTAGTTCTATCTTTAAGAGTGGCGTATCAGAGTCTCCTACTCCAGTAGGGTTGTTGTCTCTTTTTTTAGTTCTGTTAGCATTTGCTTTACGTATGTTGCAAGTCTATCATTTGGGGCATAGGTATTAATTATGGTTATGTCCTTTTATTCTCTTGACACTGTAAGTATTATATAGTGTTTTT